CCACCCCTCCCCACAAGCAGGCCGAGTTCCCAGCGGCCCCTCTGCAAAGTGGGCACATGCAAAAAAGGAAATATTGTCCAGTGCTTAGCTAATACTTTACCTGCATTCTCCTGGGGACATGAGAGTGGAAAAAGCCATTCCCATCTCACAGATGAGGGCGTGACGCCTGGACAGGCGCGCACTTGTCCAGGGAGGGAAGAGGCTGGGGCTGGAGCCCAGGCCAGGGCAGCGCAGGCCAGCGCTCAGCTCCGACCACCACCGACCAGGCTGGGAGGGCAGGGAGGGCGGGCGTGGGCCAGGCGTCCCAGGTGGGAAGCTGCTGTCTCAGGGCTCTCTGATGCGAGGCAGCGCTGAGCCACACCTTCCCCACCCGCCCTGAAGCATGGCCTCCCCGGCGCTGTGGACCGTGTTCCTGGGCAAGGTGCGGCAGAACTCGCGCTGGCCGGGCGAGGTGTCCTTCAAGGTGAGTCGCCTGGTCCTGCATCCGTACCACGAGGAGGACAGCCACGACTACGACGTGGCCCTGCTGCAGCTCGACCACCCGGTGGTGCGCTCCGCCACCGTGCGCCCCGTCTGCCTGCCCGCGCGCTCCCACTTCTTCGAGCCCGGCCTGCGCTGCTGGATCACCGGCTGGGGCGCCCTGCGCGAGGGCGGTGAGCAGGGACCCGCGGTGGGCGGGGCACGGGGTGAGGGTAGGTCTCCCGCCCCATTGGGGCCTGAAGGAGGGCGGAGCAGGTGCCCCAGGGCCCCGCCCCCAGGCCTCCAGGTCTGGGGTTCAGCCAGGCTGGATTTTCATCATTTAATATGACGGGGCCTTGCCCTTCCCTTTGGAAAGGCTTTTAAGGAAAAGCTAGGTCACGGGCGTCTGTGTGGGCGAAGGAGTAGGCCGGGACGCCACGCCTCCTGCGCACCCCTCCTGCGCAAATCCTGGGGGGGCAGGGCATGTCGGGGAGGTTCTTAATGTTAAGCATTTCCCACTTGTAGACTGAATTTGGGGGGCGTGTGATTTCATACAGTCCACCCCATTCAGGGGAGGGTGCAATGGCTCCATTTTAGGAATGAGGAAACTGAGGCCCAGAGTCACTTAGCAGTTCCTCGAAAACACCTGGCCAGAGGGGATTGCAGACTAGAACCCAGGACTGCCCGCCTCCAGGGCCCTGGTTCTTCCTGCCGCTCTCGGAAGTGGGCTTCTCCCCTCCCGACCTCAGTGAGGGGAGCTGGCCCTCTCTGGAGCCCCTCGGTTTTGTGCACAGAGGCTCAGCGGGCATAGCCACAGCCTTGCCCTCATTTGGTGGTGCTGGCTGCAAAATGTCTACAATGATTGACGGCATGGAGGCAGGAGGGAGGGAGGGTGCCCCCGCCCCCGCCCCCGCCCCCGCGGTGCTAGGGATGGAACCCAGGGCCTCACACATTCCAGGCAAGAGTTCTACCACGAAGCCACATCCCCGGGTCCCTAGAAATATTTTAAAGATGAGGAAACTGAGGCTCAGGTGAAAAGTCACGTGTCCAAGCTGCTCACAGAACAGTGGCAAAGTTAGGCTTGGTTCACTGATTTGTTCAAGCAACGACATAGATGAGCACCTACTTACTACACACCAGGCATCAAGCTGGGCACAGGGGTCGAAACTGAAAGCACGTTCTTGGAGGAGGGGTGGTGTGGCTGACATGGACGTGGAGGTGCAGGGTGGGAGGGCTGGGGCCTGGAGGAGTGGTCAGCAGCGTCCAGGGGAACTGGAGGTGTTCTCAGTGAAGGCGCAGGTGTCAGGCTGGAAGACTGTGGGACAGACCAGTAACCAGCCAGGGGGATGGGGTGGGGGGCAGGCAGTGTGACCGGGCAAGGGCCGTGGGGGGACAGCCGGGGTTTGCAGGCCACTGTGGGAATCTTGGGCCACTGGCTCCTCAAATGCATTTCACAACCACCTGGGGGCGTCAAAACCCCAGCACTTGGGCCCTGCCCTAGACGAATGAGACCAAGTCGCTGAGGACTCCAGTGCTTGTCAGGGATCCCAGGAGATCAGGACAGCCCTCCTGGAGAGGTTCTGGGCTGGGAAGGGCTCGCCTGGGTGGGTGCTTAGAAGCCCCACCAGGGGGTGCAACAGAGCAGGGCCAGGAGGCACTTGATGGGGGTGGGGGGGACGGGAAGCTGGGGAAGACACTAGTCCAGACAGGCTTGGGGGCTTAGCCCCGCAGAGGAGCTAGAACGAGGGGACGGCAGAGCAGCTGGGTGCAAGGAGATGGTCGAAGGTGAATGGGGCTTCTGGGCACTCACGTCTCTCCCCCACCCTTGGCCCCTTGGCAGGCCCCACCAGCAACGTCCTGCAGAAGGTGGACGTGCAGCTGGTCCCGCAGGACCTGTGCGGCGAGGCCTACCACTACCAGGTGACACCCCGCATGCTGTGCGCCGGCTACCGCAAAGGCCAGAAGGACGCCTGCCAGGTGACTCCCGGCCCGTGGGCAAGAGGCAGGAGGGTGATGCTCATGTCACCCGTCATTTGCCACCTGCCACCCAGGTCATGGCCCTTCACGCACATCAGCCTGCTGGGGCCTCAGAGCCTCCCAGCAAAGATGGCTGTCCCCACCTCATAGATGAGGAGACCGAGGCCCAGGAGGCTGCCCCTGCCCGCCAAAAGGCTGGGGCCCGGGTGGTACAGTGGACACTAGGAGGCTGGGAGGGTGGGGTGAGGGATGAGGACTCAGCCATATTCCCACGACAGGCAGGACCCCACGGAGGCCAGGCAGGGCCGGACTGTCCCCAACAGTTTCCAAAGGAATGTGACTTCCTATCACCTAGCAAATCCTTACCCTGATGCAGCCTGCCTCCTCTCTCCCCCTCAGGGTGACTCTGGTGGTCCCCTGGTTTGCAAGGAGCTCAGTGGCCGCTGGTTCCTGGCAGGACTGGTCAGCTGGGGCCTGGGCTGTGGCCGGCCCAACTACTTCGGCGTCTACACTCGGATCACAGGAGTGATTGGCTGGATCCAGCAGGCACTGGCCTGAGGGGCTGCTGTGTGCCCAGTGGGGGCCATCTCCTGCCCAGGACAGAACCCAGGGCGCCCCCTGGACAAGGTGACGAGTATTCTGGGGGTGAAGAGATGGCCTCCTGCCCCCTTGTGGAGGGCCCAGGCCCTTCACTTTGATCCGTGTCCTCTCCTCACTGTGGACTTGGTGGGGAGGGGCTCAGCAGCCAAGATCTGGCTCCTGGGTCCCTGGTAGGAGTATGAGACCCCACCCCACCCCAGGCAGAGGCCACCTGGGCGACACTGGTTCCACAGGACAGATTCAGCTGAGAAGCTTCTGGTGTCCCTTGGGGGTGAGGGTAGAAAGTGCCTGGTTGGAGGGGACCCTCAGAGACTGGGAGACTGCCAAGTGGGACAGCAGCCACCGTAAGCCAAAGGGTGGGGCAGCCCCAGCTGCAGGGCCCCGAGCCACCTGCCTGCCACTGGGGCTTCCCAGCCAGACCCAACCCCCTGCAAATAAAGCACTGGCTGGCCTCTCGCCCGACTGTCGGAGTCCTGCTTCCTGTGCAGCCTGCTTGTCAGGTGTCCAGAGGGCCACCGGGGGGACAGTGGAGGCCACCTGCCCAAGCCCTGCGAGAAACCCCAGGGAAGCCGATCGGAGGCCGGATAAGGACAGAAGGGCTCCTTCTAGAACCTGAGGGGAAAACCAGAAGGCCAGGGGGGAGAGGACGTCCCCACTACAGGGCTGAGCGGAGCCTGGAGCCTGTCCTCGGCCTGCCCCTCCCTGCGGCCCTGAGGACGCCTGTCACGTGCTCCTCCTGCGTCAGGCTCCTTCTGAGACCACAGATCCCCTCACAGTGGGGACGTAGTGTGGCAGGGGAAGCTGGGACTCTGGAGGCCAGGCAGCTGGCCTGAGGGGGTGAGGTGCGGGGCTCTGGGGCTCCGAGTGGCCAGGGAAGGGAAGCTGTGGGCCAGCCGGGCTGAGGGGAGCCCAAAGGGGTCAGAAGCGAAGGGCTGGCCCAGGAAGCTCTGACCGGAGCCTGACCTGCCCCCTCAGAACTGGTCAGCAGAGCAGCGGGAGGCGCGGAGGCTCCAGGGCAGGAGACACCATAAGGCAGAACCTCCAGAGGAACCCAGGGTGGAAAGCAGGGGCCGGGATGGGCAGGGCAGTGGGGATGGGTGCGGGTCACCGGTGTGCCCTGGGGCCGTAGTCAGGAGCCCAGAGGCCGGCTGGGGCTGTGTCAGCACAGAGAACTCTCCGGAAGCTTGGAACTAGAAGGGGAAGTGGGGGGGGGGTGTCCATGGTGGGCGAGGCCACGGGAGGGGGTCGTCGTGCGGAGCCTCTGCTGGGTGGGTGTGCAGGGGCCAAGCCTCTCCGGCTCTGGGGTGAACAGGACAGCAGGACTCTCCACAGGTGCTCTGCTAAAAGGCCAGTTCCTGGTTGGCCACTGTCTCAATCCAAAGCCCAGTGCGAGGAGGGCCTGATGCTCTTTGAAAAGCCCCCATGTGACTCTCAAAAACTGGACACAAAAAGGGAGCTCACCTTCAGAAGTGTGTGTCCCTGGGGGACATGTTGACATCCTCCAGCCTGTGGAGCCCTGGCCTGGAATGGCCTCTGCCTAGGGGTCACTGCTCTACAAGGGGCGGGGACTTGGCAGGATGAGGGAGTGGAAGAAGCTGGTGGGGCAGGAGAAGAGCCGAGGGCCAGAGCCTCGAGGAGGTGGGCAGCAGGCCCGGTGTCCACGTTTCCCAGGGCCTTGGGGTCAGGGCTGGTGGCAACAAGGAGGGGGCCCAAAGGTGGCAGGCCAGGGGAGTCAGGGGCAGAGGGGCTGCCTGGGGACCTGTGTGCTCGTGGGGCATGGGAGGTGTTGAAGGCCCTGGGCAGAGGACCTCGCCGTCCCCCACCGGTCCTCCACCACACAGTGAGTGACAGAGGGGTGGGCCTGGCCTTTCGGGAAAGCCTTTTCCTCTCAGTTGGTCCACAGCTCCTGAGTTCAGCCCCATCCCCAAAAGCGGCCCAGAGGGAAAGGGAGCCACAGGCCGGGCTGTTTCTTCAGGTTTTATTCCACGGCGGCGGCGGGCGCAGCTGAGGCCAGTGCCCATCCCAGGCAGTCACAGTGCAGAGGGGCCCCTCGCTCAGCCCCATTACACCCAGACCCTGCCTTGGGCAGAGGGAGGAACGTCCCCCTTCCCTTCTCCCTGCGTAGCCACTTGGGCCCCATGCAGGACAGGGCCCTGCAGCAGCACACGGTGGGCGCGACATGGCCCAGGAGAAGGCCAAACTGCCTGCCCCTTCCTTCTGACAGGGCCAACCCCGCACCTGTCACCCTCACTACCTGAATCTCCGTGGTGCATGTCATGCTTGGGGCTGGCCAGGCCCTCCCAGCCAAGGGGGTGAGGGAGAGCGGCCCTGGCTCTTAGGGTCCCCGGGGACCTTGTCCTCTCTGCACCCCACAACCACCCTGTGTGGGAGGCTCCCCACTGGACCCCCAGGAGGCTGCGGCTCAAGGAGGTGATGTGATGGGGCCAGGAGGGAGCCCAGTCACTGTGCCACAGGGGCCCCTGGAGGAGGAGGGGACAGAGGGTGCTGGGAGACACAGCTGGGCAGGGCCACACCGAGGCCACGGGCAGGTGGCTCTACCCAGGGGTCCCAGGACCCACCTCAGGCCTTGGGAGGTCCCAGTGGGTCCCTGCCTGGGCCCTGGAGGCAGAGGCAAGTCACAGCCCCGGAGGTGCAGGCAGAAGTGGCAGGGGACAGAGTGCGTCTTCCTTCCCGGGCCCGGGGCCCACCCCATGGTACAAAAATAAAGGATTTCAGATGGGAACCCCAAGTCCCTGCAGGTGATCTGGGGCCTCACATCCGGGTGTCTCTGGCTTGTAATAGCTAGAAAATAAGAGCGGGGAGGGCAGGAGGATGGGAGGTGGGGGCAAAAACCAGGGTGGGGTGGGGGTGCGAGGAGGGGTGCGCAGACAGGGAGAGGGCAAGAGGGAGGCCGGGGTGGGGAAGGGGGGAGAGAGAGAGGCGAGTGAGTGGCGGCTGCTTCTGGAAGAGAGGAGGCCCAGGCCCAGAGTGAGTCAGAACCCGGGAGGAAGCAGGTGGGGCTGCGTGGTGGCTGTGGGGGGCCAGGCTGAGGGCGGGGACGGGGCGGGGCTGGGAGGCACAGGTCACTGCTGTCCCAGGTGAAAGGAGTGTAGGAGGGAGCGGCTGCCTGTCCCCATTTTATAAGCCCAGAGAGGGACAGCAACTTGCCCAAGGTCACAAGCACACAGATGAGACTACGTGGGGACGGCGCGGACCCCTGACCAGGGTGTGGCTGCCAGGCTCTGCTGCTTCTGCTGGCTCCTCATTGGCCAAGTGCCGCATACGGCCTGGCTTCTGTCCCCACCCCAGAAACAGGACACTGTGCTACACAGTGACACGGGAGCTCCTGGCCATGTGGGGGAGAGGCCCAGGCCTGTGGCTTCAGCTGGCCTCCCCCCCGCAGCCTGGCCTGGTGCTGCCCACAGGAGGGTGGGCGGTCCCCACACCCTAACCTCCTCCTGCTCTCAGAGCCTCACCCAAGGCTGGGGCAGGCTGGGAAGCTGGTGGGTGGGGAAGGTCAGCAGAAAGCTCGGCTCCTCCTTGCTTCCACCCCTCCCTCCAGCTCCGCCAAGCTACAAACCAGGGGATGGCAGCTCTGGGGGCGGGCGAGGGGCCAAGGAGAAGCCCTCACTGCCAGCTCAGCCTCGGGTCTGAGGGGGCGCAGACGGGAACCTGCAAGGAGGAAACGTGAGGGGCGAGGAAGCGGCAGGGCAGGGCCGGGCAGGGCCAGGCCTGCGCCAGCCTCAGAGGTGCCCAGTGGGGCCGGCCGGCACAGAGGCAGCCACGCTGCGCCCCTCCTCCCCAGGCTGGGGGGCAGGAGGTGCCAGGAGGGGCGAGGGGGACGGCAGGCAGGACGCTCTGGGACGCAGGGCCAGGGGACCCGGGGGGAGGGCACGGGAGGCCGGGGCCAGGTCGGCCCCAGGGTGGAGGCGCGAGCAGGCGGAGAGGAGACCCGCGCAGGGGCAGAGGGGGAGGAGGCAGGGAGCAGATGAGATCCAGGAGGAGGAGGTGGATGGAGATGAGGCAGGACCTCCAGTGGGAAGCAGAGGAGGAGGCGGCGGTGAGAGGGAGGGAAGGTGAGCGGGATCCTGGGGTGACTGGGCTGCAGAGAGAGCGAGAGAAGGGCGTCACGGCCAGGCCAGCAGCTGAGCTAACCCTGCGCCCGGCCGCCCGCCCGGCAGCGGCTGGAGGGAGGGCGGAGGCTCCCAGGTCTGGTTAGCGGCCATCCTCCTGGGGGCGGGCTGCACCTTTCTCCTGTGTATCTGCCTCCACCTGCACCTGGGCCACCTGCACCTCCTCCACCTCCTCCTCCTGCTGCCGCTGCTCCTCCAGCTGCTCCTCCGCGCTCTGTGAACCAGCCGGTGACCCAGGGAAGAAAGAGCGTAGACACTAACGAGGGGGCCAGGCGGGCTGCAGCTGTCCCCGTGGACCCCTACCTCGGGCGGAGGGTGGGCAGAGCGAGGGGCATCTCAGGAGAGAGGGCTGCAGCCACAGAGGCTGCGCCATCGTCTCCAGTCCCCCGGGAAGCGTGGGGTCGGCCTGGCTGCTGGCTCCGAGTGCAGCTGGGACGCGGGCAGTGGGGACCCGTGGGTGGGAGCGGGGTGTCTGCAGGGTGCCCGGAAAAGCCTTGCTTAGGAGGGGACCAGAGTAGGAGGCCTGGGAGGCCCCTGGGCAGCACCGACCAGATCAGGGAGGCCAGCAACTACTGGTGGCACCCCAGGCCCGGGGCGCCAGCCTGTGGGTGGGTGAGGTGGGCAGAGGAGTCACAGCAGGACAGGGCGGCAGACAGACAGACAAGAAGCCAGAGCTCAGTCTCCACTGCACAGGACAGGTCCCAGAAGGAACGCTCCCTCCTCCTTCCTGGCCTGGCTTGTGTCGGCTCTGCCAGCCCCACCAGGGCCCGTGGGATTTCCCACCAGCTTGGCTCCGGGCCCGGGACCCCCACTCCAGCCCTCCCCACACAGCACCAGGCTGCCAGGTGCGCCTGCGGAAGGCCACCTCCTGCCAGGGTGGAGCAGGGCTGGTGCCCATGGGGCTCCCAGAGCCCCTGGTGCAGAGCGCCCAGCAGGAGGCCTTGGTGAGGGCAGGGCTGTTGGACTTGGCTCCCCTGTCCTGGCCTAGGCTGGCTGGACATCAGCCCTGGGCAATAAGCTGGCCATCTGGGTTCCCAGGAGTTCCAAGCATGAGGCAGCGAGAGCAAGTGGCCTGTCCCTCACCTCACAGAGAACACAGCAAAGGTGCTGAGAGGGGGCGGCACTTCTCCAAGGTTGCACGGACGCATACCATGCCCTGGGCCTTGGTTCAACTCTGCCTCACGCCCCAACACCTGTGGCATCGTGTCGCCCTGGCTGTGCCCTTGGACGGTCCCTTTGCACTACTCCCAGCCTGGGCCTGGGTAACGGGTGTGAGCAGACATGTCCATGGCATGGGATGGATGGCATGGGCTGGACCATGGGGTTATGGAAGTGCAGCAGGAGGGAGGGAGCAGCAGGGATGGCGGGAGGGCAGGGGCAGGAGGCGCCACCTTGGTGCAGGGCCGCGGCTCACCTTCGCTTTACGGCTGGCCTCGGAGCCCGGGCCATGCGGGGAGCTGTGCAGCTCCTTGGACACCACGCACAGGAACTCGGCCTGGTCCTCACTGCCGTAGTTGTAGGAGGAGCCGATGTTCACCAGCTGCCGGGAAGAGCGGTGTGGGTCGCACCCCCAGGCCCCACCTCAGCCTCCTTGCCAGCCTGGCTTTCCAGAGGCACCTGGGCAGGAAGCTGGGGATCTTCTCCCACCTGTGCCCCTGCCGACTTGGCTGAACCTGACCCTGGAGGAGGGTGGTGGTGTCACCCCACCCCCAGCCCAGCCCACATCCAGGCATCCAGTTCCAAAAGCAGGTGGAGGCCTGTGAAGCATGCTGTCCCCTGATCCCACAGTGGCTGCAGCAGCCCCCGGACGAGGCTGGGTGGGACCCGCACAGCAAGCGCCACAGAACAGCCCCTTCCCTCTTGGAAGTCCCGAGAACCTGCGCAGCTGCCAGGCTCTGCCAGGCTCTTGGAGGCTGCCTTGGCTTAGGGTCCCTAGAATCCACACACCCCCTTCTGGCCGACGAAGTCCTTGCACTGACGGGTCTCTTTCAGCTCTCGGGGACCCCCATTCAGAAGGCAGAGAAACTTATCAGCCCACCCACGGCTGGGAAGGGGTGGGGCAGGGTTAGGACCTGGGGCCCCCTGGCATCCTGTCTTGGGGCCCAACAGAACTAAGTAGCATCCTTCTAGCAGCTGGCATGATACCAGAGCCTATGGGAGGTCCCGGCCAGGGCTAGGAACCTTACTGGTGGCCTAATTTTCACGACAGTTCTGAGAAGGAGGAGCCATTTGCCCACCTCCCCGAGGACACTGAGGAGAGGAGCTAGGCGTAGCCAGGGTCAGAGAGTGTCGTGGTGGGAGGACAAGGGGGAGCCAGCGTGGCTCCTGGGCTGGGGTCGTTCCTCACTGTCCAGCCTTCCTGGTCTTCGGTCTCGGGCAGCGCTGCTCTGGGGGTGTGGGCATGGGATGGATGGCATGGGCCGGACCATGGGGTTATGGAAGTGCAGCAGGAGGGAGGGAGCCCCTGGAGCAATCACTTTCTGACTCTGTTCTCTGAAGACCCGAGACTCTGAAGACGCCAGCCGCTCGTCTTACCAGAGCACACTGCTGGGGACAAAATCTCCCCACTGGATGGGAGGCATCAGAGGCACCATGACTATCCCTGGGGACCCCCCGTGGGGCTTCCCTGAAGGGAGTGACGCCTGTGACCCAGCCTGTCCCCTACAGGGCCCTGGAATCTGTGCCTGTGGATCTGTCCCAGGAGGTGTGGCCAGGCTCCCTGCACCGGAGTTGCAGCTCGGGCCACAGACTTGCTCACACTGCGGCTCGGCCATCACCTGCTGCCCCAGGACTGATATGGACACCTAGGGGGGCTGAGGCAGTGCCTCCCGCCGGCCCCTCGGCCACTCTGTGCCCTGGGCAGCTTTTCCTAGTCTTGTTGACTTCGAAGATCCCCAGGTGGGGCTGAGGCGGGGGACACAGGGCTGGCTGTAGGAAGAGAGGGCCCCTCGCTGGCAGCCGGGGGCTCCTGCTGCCCCCACCCGGCACCCATGCACCCTGCCCACCTGCTCAAAGCGCCAGCCGTCAGACATGGTGGACACCATCTGCGTGAGCTCCTCCTCCTGGCACTGCAGCACGCGGTACACGTGCTTGGGCGGCACCTGTGGGCAGAGACCCCATGGACGGCACCTGGAGACGCACCCCCACGCCCCCCAGGCATGTGCCCTTGAAGGCAGGTGGGGGAGGAGAGGTGGAGGGAGCCGCACCTGAGCACCTACTGTGTGCCAGGGGCTCAACACGCGTGATCTCGCCCACTCTTCTGCCACCCCCTGCTCAGTTACTCGTCCCAGGTCACCCGACTCGAGGGTGGCAGAGCCAGCACTTGAGCACAGAGATCACGAGAGGGAAGGCGGGCAGCGCATGGGGGACATTCTGGGTCATCAAATGAGCCAGACCCCCTAGGACACACAGCCTCCCCACCTCAGTCTCTGGGGCTGGGAGGTGGCCCCTCGCCACAACTCCTGCAGACCAGTTACTGGGGCCTGGGGTCCAAGCTCAGAAATGCCAGCCCCAGCAGCCAGGATGTGTTCACGGAGGACCGCCTGACCCAAGTGGCACGGGCTGACCTGCCTGGCCCCCTGCAGGCCCCAGACCTTCACATCAAGTCCCCTCTACCTGTGGGGACAACACTTGGCGCTAAATTCCACAGGAGGAAATTAAGGCCCAGAGAGGGATGTGACTGGCCTAAGGTCACACAGAAAAAAAGCCAAGCAAGGCAGGGAGAGAACCCGGTCTGGGGCTGTGTCTGTCCCCCACCCAGGCTGCTCTGCCTCTCCCAGCCCCTCCTCCACCCAGCCCTGCTTCCCACCTGGGTCACGGTGTAGTCCTTCTCCTCCATCCGGTCCTTGATGATGCGGATGAGTGGGCCGATGTTGTAGAACTCCGCCTCCTCCAGCACGCCTGGCAAGAGCAGCGGTCACTCCTGCTGCCCACACCCCGTCCTCCCTCGTCCCCCCGCCCCAAACCCACCTCCTGCTCTGGGCACACTCCCTGCTAGGTGGGCCACACATGCTAGGGCCAGGCCCTGTGCTCAGGTGACATCCTTCATGGCACTGAAGTCTCAGACCAGAAGTGAGTACTCATCGCCTCCACTGAGCACGGGGGAAACTGAGGCTCCCAAACAGGAGCGACTTGTCAAGGCCACAGCCAGTGAGCTCGGTCCCTCCAGCGCTCAGCCCCGAGGGCTCTGTCCACACTGTAAGGGAGCGTGCTTCTATAAGTGCCCCCAACTGCCATCCTTCACAGTCTGCAAAGCCCCCATGTGCACCTCGCAGTGCTGGGGACATGAGAAAAGCAGGCACCACTGTCCCCACTTTACAGTTAAGGTACTTGGAGGGACTATGCAAGCCACTCCCCACCCGGCCCAGGGAAGTTGACGGAGCGCCCAGGGGCTGGACCTCCCTAAGGTCCTGCAGGGCAGGTCACCTCTGGTCCTTTCTTTGGCCTCTGGGATCCCTGGGGACAGACAAGAAGTCGGCTATCTGCAACCTGGAAGAGGGCCCTCGACAGACCCCGACACGATGGCACCCGGATTAAAAAATCCCAGCCTCTGGAACTGTGAGGAATGCGTGTCTGCGATTTAGGAGCACCAGGCCTCAGCACCCAGGCTCAGCACTCAACATACAATTCCAAATGACCAACCCACCCTGCTGTCTCCAGGTCCTAACAGAGACGTGGTCAGTAACTGTTGTGTGACAGTCCCCCAGCCATGTCCTGGTGGGGCAGACATCTGACCCTGCATCGCGCAGCCTCAAGGCCAGCTGCTGCGCCCCCTCTACCACGGCCCAAAGAGGCCAATGTGGCTGTGGCCCCCTCTCACCAGTGGGGGCGCGGAGGCACAGGGAGCTCAGTGAGGTTCCCAAGGTCACAAAGCTAGACAGTCCTCTCAGATCCGTCCCCAGCCCCTGTCTGAAGGTGCTGGAACCACACAGCTCAAAGAACCCAGGAACGTGTCAATAGGCGCTGGCTGTGACGCAGCTGTAGCGCTCACCTCCCCTCTCTGGGGACAGGCCACGCCCAGGGTATCTGCTCCCCGGGGCTGGGGCTGGGGCCAGGTCCCTGCAGTAGTTCTGAGGCTGAAGCCCTGCTCTGTGGGAGCCATTAGCCTGCAGATCACTGGATGCCACAGGGGTCAGCAAGGGGAGATGGTGGCCCAAAGTGGAGAGGGACGGGCTGACCCAGGGCCCACAGGTATAGGACTCATGGCAACCAAAGCCCAATACCGCTCTCCAGAATACAGGTCACCATCCTTATTTTAGACACACCCATGGAGAAGTGGGCCCAGCTGGCGAGAGCTACACCCTGTGCCCCAAGGAAAGTGGACCTGGCACCGACCGCAGCTGCTGCTCCTGGCTAGCGCCTTCTAAGTGACCATTCTCCAGACACGGCTTCCCCACTGTCTGTTAGGCCCCGACGTGGGCCTGTATAGGGGCCTGCTGCCAAGGCCCGGGAGGGGCCAAGCCCTGCCAAGGAGCAGCAGCCACCCCTGCCTCCGCCCACAGCTGGCTCTGTGCTGCAGAGGCTGCAGGTTTGGGGAACAGTCCCTGCCCCACCCACCTGCCGGCTCCAGTCCTCACCAGGCCCACCCGGCGATGGCGACACCCGATGCCCAGCCAAAGAAGGCGCAGCTCTTCCCATTGCCATCCCCACCCTTCCCCCACCCCAGACTCTGCCCACACCTGGCTTCCCAGGAGGCCAGGGCGGAAGGGCACCCCTGCCAGGAAACAGGCCTCCGGCCTCACGGGCCTCCTCTATCTCCTGAGTGTGTCTCCATCACTCCCTGGCGTCACCCAGGAAAGCGTCACCCGGGAAAGCCCGGGCCCACCAGCCTGAGGGAGACCCTGGGAACCAGCCCTGCCTGGGAAACACAGCAGGAGGCAGGTGCCCACTGCAGCTGGAAAACAGGGCTTTGGGCCTCTGCGGAGGCCATGGCAGGCAGGCTGCAGAGGGCAGGGCCAGGACATGGGCCCCAGGCCAGTCCCCTGGACCAACTCACCCTCCTCAGCCATGTCCTTGTCCAGCACCAGCTTGCCATGCCGGAGGAAGTTCAGGATGGGCCCAAAGTAGGTGGGGTCACGGTCAATGAGGTAGGCCCCCGTTTCATCCTGTGGAGGAGAAGGCACACAGTGAGAAGAGTGGGGCTGTCCCCTGCTCATCAGCTCTCACTAAAGGCCAGGGAAAGGACTGCGGGGAGCAGGAGAGAGAGTGACGTGGTGTGTAATAAAGCCTGAGGGTCAGACGGACCTGGGTTCAAATCCTGCCTCTGCCTTTTCCAGACTGTGTGACCTTGGACCAACAATTTGACCTCTCTGAGCCTCTTTACCCCACCCCGTAACTATGGGTCACCATGAGCACACAGGGAGAGAGGTCTGAGTGGCACCTGGCCCAGTGAATGTCTTTCTTAGAGGGCCCCCTGAGGCCGGCCCCCTGTTCACCAGGTCCCTTGTCTTTCAGGGGATGTTTACAAGTTCCTAAAGGAGCGGCCCTCCCATTGGACACTTGCAGCCTGCAGGGAGGCAGGACGGGCATCAGGACAACTCTAGAGAGGTTAGGGGACTGGCCCAAGGTCACAGCATCAGAGTGTCATAGAACCGGGACAGGGAACCTGAGAGATCATCTCCAGACCAGCACCTCTGGTTACAGAGGAGGGGGCCGAGCCCAGAACATGGAAGGGTCTCGCCCAAGGTCACGTTGGCGGTTTGCAGCAGAGCTGAGTGGGAGCCCAGGCATGGTGCCCTCTGGGCCAGCCTCCTCCCAGCTGAGAAAGCACCCCAGGACTCCTGTGCCGGGCTCCCGGACCCCCCCCCCCCCGCGCCACCCACACCGGGAAGGAAGGTGTGGGCAACTCCGCGCCCAGTGCGGGAGCCCTGCATGGAGAGCAGCCCTCCCTGCCGGCGCCTCCCCGCACCCCCGAGGGGACAGCCCCCACCCAGGGCCGAGCTCCAGGCTCCAAATGGCCGCGGCCTGCGTCGTCCCGTTGCCACGGCAATGGGCACACCGCTCGCTCTCGGCTCCACTTCCTCCCCACGGCTGCCAGTCCCTCCCGCCTCCAGCTCCGCGGAAAGCAGCCCATCCGGGCCCCACGCTGGCGGCCGGGTCAGGTCGGAAAGCGGGTGCGGGTGCGGGTGCGGGGAGCGGGGACGGGGAGCGGGGACCCAGCCCGCCCGCGCGCGGGCTCACCCGGTCCGACTGCAGCTCTTCGCCCTGGCACAGGCGGCTGAGGAAGGACTTCTGCTCGCGGCACAGCGTCTGCCGGGTGGTCAGGAACACCGTGCCCCCCACGTTGAGCCGCACCCACTTGCCCCAGCCGCCCGCGGCGCGACCGCCCGCCCCCGCCGCCGCTGCCTCCCGGGCCTCCATCCTCATCGCTCGCCGCGGTCTGCAGCCTCCGCGCCAGCGGCCCCGCGCAGAGCTTGCCGGGAGTTGTAGTCCGCGCCGCGGGGCCGCCGCGCCCCGCCCACAGGCCCGCCGCGCCCCGCCCTCAGGCCCCGGGAAGTCCTTGGACCACATTTCTGTTTAGGGATGTCAGGTCCTGGACCCTGGGGAAAAATTGACACCCCAAGCAAACAACCTCCCATTTGTTCCCCTTTTTATTGCCTTTTTCTTTGTGCAGTCCGGGCTCTCAAAGAGCTGACAGAAGAAACTTCTCCCTGGAATTCCTGTGACATTTACCGTATTTCCTAATATGTGTGTGTAGGGGGAATACTGGGGTGGGACCCAGGGTCCCCCACGTGCTAAGCAAGGCCCTTCAACGGAGCCGCACCCCCCAGCCCAATTCCAGTAGTGGAGGGTGGGCTCTTCCCTCCGCAGAAGCTCTTCAAGCTCAGCGTAGTTGGACTTGAGGTTGGTCGAGCGCCTTCTGTTCGCCAGGTGCTTTGGGTGCACATATGTATCATTCATTAATCTCTTGATCACTATGCTCATTTTACACATGGAGCCACAGAGGTGAAGTGACCGTGGACTCACGCAGCTGGTGAGTGGCAGGCCAGCCCAGCCCGGTGGGTTCCAGGTGCATGGCCACCACTGAGAACCCCCTCTCCTGTGTGTCTGCTGTGAGTGGCAGTGATCTCTGGAAAACATTCCCAGGGAGGAGGAGTAGAGCTCTATCTAGATCAAAGCCAGTTTGAATTCTGGCTTTTGTAGGCTGCCTTGGGAGAGGTCCCAGCGGTGGATAAAGAGAAGTTGAACTGAGTGCCCTCGTTCTGGTCTGGAGCCAGGTCAAGGTGACTCCAGGAAGGAGGAAGGCAGGATAGGGGGAGAGAGAGGTTTGGGGAGCCAGCAGGGGGAGGAGGAGGTGCTGGCCACTGTTCCTGATTGATGCTCAGAAGAGCAGCTTGGGCTATTGAGAACAGGGGACTGTCTGCAGCCTTGGGAGAGGAGGAGACCCCTTCCCCAAAGAGCATGTGAAAAGTCCCAGAGAGAGGGGCCCAGGGAAGGGCTCAGGGGTCGGGAAGGGGGGTCCAGTGGGGGAAGAAAAAAGAGCAAAGTCTGGAGGAGGGGGAACCAGAGCACTCCAGGAGACCAGTGGTGGGTCAGTGTGAAACAGTCCACTGGAGGCGTGAAAGTTGGGAAGGTCAAGTTCAGGGTCCCAGGGCCATAGGAAGCCAGGCTTGTCTACTGAAGGCTCCTCCCACTCCCCTCCTTCCCTCAGGGGCCCACCTCTCCCTGGCCCCAGCAGGCACAGGAAAACCTGCCTCCCCTCTGAAAGGACCTCATAGCCAAGAACCAGGTGCAAGACACCAGAGCCCTAAACAGAGCTGGCAGCTGCCACCACAGCCCTGCTCCTGTGGGGGCATTGCCTGGGGGAGGTTGTGTGTGTGGAGGTTGGGAGGGGCTGCAGCCCCCTGTGGAAAAGGACCCCTCCCTTCCCTCCTACTGATTCTGCTTTCAGCCATTGCTGTGTTTGCTGAGCCCCAAATAGGTGCCAGACACTGAAACCTGGGGCTGGAGATGCCAGAGGCTGTCACTGTCCCCAGGAGGGTTTGGTTCAGGAGATGGTTTGAGAGGGCTGGGTGGAACATGGTCTCCAGGTAGCCCTGTCTGTGACCATGCACTGTCACGCTCCATCATTTTTCATATGCACCCCCCACCACACATTTTCTAGGGTGAGGGGTACAGCTCCCAGACTAGGATGCCACCCAGCAGCCCAGCTTTCTGGCTTCCTAGCTGAGTAGCCTTGGGAAAGTCACTTACCCTCTCTGAACCTCCGTTTCCCCATCTGTAAGTTGGGAACAATAACAGTACCCGTTCGTACCCAAGCCTGCCTCGAGTACAGGGTTTTAGAGTTTCAGATATGAGGGCATGTGGCAGGGACCTGCCACACTGCTGGTGTCAAGACCAGTGCCTGAGCTGGAGGCTGCCCCACGGGCCAGGGGTGAGCCAACTCTACCACCTCCTCCTTCCTGGGATGGGAGGGGAGGGCAGGGAGAAAGGTCCCCTCAAATGACCCAGGCTCCAAGGTGGATGACTGCCACTTCCTCACGCTAAGCCCCCGTGACCTAAAATGATCTGCAAGTCACTCTGCTTCCAAATAGAGCCGAAAGAACACAGAATGTATCCAGCGCATCGGGAACGCCACCCGAGCCCACGGCTGCTCGTCCTGGTTTGAACCTCCCGATCCTCTCGGCTGCATCGCCACATCTAAGTGGCTGGCGTCACACCTGCTGGCAGTTCCCTGGCTGAGATGTCACTCATCCCTGCTGGCTTTGCTCTCAGCTCTCTGGCCCGAGTTCAGGATGTCAGAACATTCAGGTTCCCCTCCACTTCTTGTTTTGCTCCTCAAGTCACATCCATCCTCGTCCCTGCCTGGGGGCTGGTGTGGGTGTTGCTGGTTTGGAACAGGCACCTCTTCGGGTCACCTGAGGGGAGAGCGGTGTATCCAAAGAGCATGCGTTTGACCTGCCTCAGACATTGCTGCCTAACAGCAGCCTTTCAGAGCTCCGTGGGCCGGGGTTTGAGTCTCTGCTCCATAACTTCCTGCAACACCGGGTTAGTTAGGACTCAACTTGGTCGAACCTCACTGTACGGCATCTGCAGTACTTAGATCATCAATACTTAGAGCCATTACATGTAGTCAATGCAACCTATTAGGACTGTGCACCTACTGTGTGCAGGTTCTGGACTTAGAAGCATCATTTGCAGTGAGGACAAACTCTGGTTTATTCACTTGAGTGTTTGTAACAAGATCTTTCGATGCTCTTACCTAGCACTTCCTCCAAGTGTTAAGGGACGTTCCCAAGCCTGTCTTGAGTACAGGGCTTTAGAGTTTCGGATATGAATGAGACCCAGGCCCTCTTGAGCTCTTTTAAAGAGGATCCACAGCGTCTGCACACTCCACTGATGTGGCGTTCACATCACCAAATGGTGCCTTTTCCCATCTGCGTAAGCTACAGCAGCCCAGGCCACAGTGGTGCTGGGTCTGCTGGGCCGGGCTGGACCACCGGAGCCCGGGTGCTGCTCGCTTCAACCAGCAGAGGGCGCTCAATGGGCTCCCCCACCGGTCTCCACCGGGCCACGAGTGTGGGAATCACAGAGCTTGGCCAGCAGGGGGCGCACCGGCCTGTCCCTCGCCTAGTGGAGACGCTGGAGGGGCAGCAGCCGCCTATCCACCAGCCCAGATGGTCTTACTTGCGCCTGTTGATTCCCTTTTCAGGACTGGGGCGGTGACAACTGGCCTCTTATCAACCTCTCCCGACACCCACTGTCTCTCTGGCTCCAGTGAACGCAATTCCACAGCTTGATCGCACGACACCCAGAATCTAAGGTCTGTCCAGCTGGATTCCAGCTCCTGCTGCCAGACATTCACTAGCTCTGCATCAGGCGGAGCTGCACCAAGCAGTTCCCAGGGTGATTTCTTTAATCCTAACTCCCCAGGGTGTCCTAGCTCTCCACTTCCACCTTCCACAGCCTCAACTCCCCCCTCGCAGGATTTGGGATGAGGGTAGGAGAAAAGGGAAGGGCCGAAAAATTTTTCCCTGCCCGGCATCCTTGGTTCTCTGGAGTGACTTTGCCGATGATTTAAGATGGCTCTTTTTAATTTTTTGTACCAGGGATGGAACCCAGGGGTGCTTAACCACTGAACCACATTCCCAGCCCTTTTTATTGTCTACTTTGAAATAGGGTCTTGCTAAGTTGCTTAGGGCCTTGCCAAATTGCTGAGGCTGGCCTTAAACTTATGATCCTCCCAACTCAGCCTCCCCAACTCCTGGGATTACAGGTGTGTGCCACCACACTCAGATGGCCTGCAGGCATGGGGCCCATCCAGCCTCTGAGTCCCCAGAGTCCAGGACTCACATGTCCCTGTCTGCAGATGGCTCCTTGAAGCCCCTGTCATCAGCCTGTGGGTTGAGGAGGCTCTCCAACCATGTCTCCCCTGGGGGCAGCCTCCAACAACTGCCTCCCTGGAAAGCCCTCTGCCCCCCAGCTGCTTCTGGGGACACCTCTCTTGTGTCTGCCGAGAACAGGAGGCACAAGCTTCCTCAGTGTTCCGAGAGGACTCCTTAACTACTTCATTTGTAAGAACTGTTTTAGATGGTCTAGCACCTTATTTTAGAATGTGGACACAGCGAGCATTTTCATTTCTGGCTGAAATGAAACCAGAAAAATCTGCCTCAAAACAATGACAAAATCTTTTTTTTAATTTTGGAAGTAATTTTAGGCTTAGAGAAAAGTTGCAAAAATGATCCAAAAAATTCCCCAAATGTTATTTTTTCATTCTCTCTCCCTGAAACTTTCCTGTTTTTCTGAACTGGTTTTTAGTAAAACCACAGAATTAATGACCTTTTGTTCCCAAACCCTTCAGCCTGGTTTCTGAAAAACAAGGACTCTCTTCCATAACTCTGTAGTGCATTGATAAAAGCCAAGAAATTAATGTCAATACAGTTCCTTTAGCTCATCTATAGATTTCTTCAGATCCGCATTCGTCTGGCTAAAGTCCTTTGCAACGAGAGAAGAAAAGACTAGAAGCAGCGAGGATCCAACCAGGACCCAAGCACTCAGCTGTCCGGTCCTTCATCTGGAACACCTTCTCTTTCTTTCTCTTTCATCTTCAAAGAGTACACGTGTTTCGTTTTGTAGACAATCCCCTCAACATGGGATTGCCTGATATGTCCTCAGAACTAGATTCCTGACATGCCACAGAAGTGGTGCTGTGTTCTCAGTGCACCATATTGGGAAGAACCTGATGTCAGCTGGTTCCATTATTTGTGAGGTGAAGGCGGATTGCCCAGGTGAGGTGCTGTCTGTCAGGCTTCTGAGCTGTACGATGATTCTTTTCCCCTTTGAATTAATCAGTATCCTATGAAAAGGGGCAGTGAGACTACGTTAATATTCTGTTTCTCATCAAACTAATTTATCTCCTCGTTAATTTCAGTATTCGTTGACTATT